GGTCGAGGCGTGGGGCAGCCTTGGCCCCAATCCTTGGGTTTTCGGGGCAGCCCAAGGCCGCCCGTCTGTAGAGGCCCTAGATGAAAGAAGATTGTAGCATAAGATTTCATAGACTGAGTCTGAACAAAACACAAGATAGTATGAGAACCAGTGGTTTAGTGGTTTGAGTGTTGGACTAGGACTCTGGGAGACCAGGGTTCAAATCTCTGCTCGACCACAGAAATCCACTGGGTGACCCTGGGCATGTCACACTCTCTCAGCCTCAGAGGAGGGCAATGGCAACACCACTTTGAACAAATCTTGCCAACAAAACCTCATGAAAGGTTCACCTTATGGTCACCTTAAGCTGGAAATAACCTGAAAGTCCTCAACAACAACAAGACAGTACAATCTCTCACACATTTGTTTGAAGTGGACAAAGGCTTTTCAATACCATATACATGTTAATCCACTTATCTAATCTAAGATGTCCTAGTTACCTCCTGGAGCTTCGAAAGCTTGCAACAAGTATATTGTGCATTTTGGTTGGCCAATAAAGGTATCACTGATGGATTTTTGTTTGAATTTGCTAAATGGCCAACACAGCTATCCCTGAATTGTGATAGCTCTCAAAAGTACCAGAGATGTTGAAGCGAAACAGTAACCAGAAGGTAGCTATTCAGGGGTAGCTGTGTTGGCCATTTAGCAAATTCAAACAAAAATCCATCAGTGATACCTTCCTTCTTTCATCATTTATGGAAATTTTTCAATTCTATCAAGGAGTTGGCTCAGGACAGACTGTGATATGCAAAAGCAAAGCAAAGCAGCTTCATTTATATACCGCTTCATATCACGCTATGGATGTCTAAGTGGTTTACAACTGTAAGCTCATTGCCCCCCAACAGTTGGGTACACATTTTAGCGACCTCAGAAGGATGCAGGCCTGAGTCTAGCCTGAGCCCTGGCTAGTATTGAACTCGCAACCTTGTGGTCTATGAGTGCTGGCTTCCGTACAGGCATTTAACCACTACGCCACCAGGGCTCTTTAGTGTCCCTTCCGGCACAGCGCATCAAAACGCTGCACCGGAAGGACGTCCTGATGCCGCACGCTGTGTGTAACGGCACGCAACATCAGGACACTGCCAGCATGGGGTTGGGGCGGCCAGCGTGTGGCTGCCCCTCCACATCTCTACCTCCAGGCCGTCCCTTTGGGCCGGTCTGTAGAGGCCCATAAAGAAGAGCTTCCTGATGGCAAGAGCTGCTCGACAGCAGAATACACTGCCTTGGAGTGTGGTGGAGGTTTCTTCTGGAGATTTTTAAACAGAGGCTGAATGGCCACCTGTGCTTTGATAGTGTATTCCTGCATGACAATATTGGGTTGGGCTGGACAGCCCCTGTGGTCTCTTCAAGCTCTATGATTCACATCTGCCCTCCAGTCCTTCTAGTGGGTTTTCTACACAAAACTAGTTGGCCACTATGGGAAACAAGGCAAAGACTAGAGCAGGGGTAGGCAACCTTTCCCCTTTAAGGGCCGAGGGACTTCAGCTCCCAGAATCCCAGGAGCTATTGGCCAACATGGGAATATTGACCAACATGGCTGAGGCTTCTGGGAGCTGAAGTCCCTCGGCCCTTAAAGGGGAAAGGTTGCCTACCCCTGGACTAGAGAGACCTTTTGTCTGATCCAGCAAGGCTGCTCTTATCTTAAGTACAAAAGGAATAGATAATTTGTGCATTTACTACTGATGTAAATCTTCACTTATTTCATTGACACAGAGAAGGATGAACAATTACAGTCGCCCCTCCATTCTCGCAGACTTGAGATCCGCAGCCTCAAATATTCATGGAGGGGTGACCTCCTTTAATTTTAATGGGGTGCGCGTCCACGGCACATGCCCCATTCAAGCCTATGGGGCTTGAATATTGGCGAGTTCCTTTTTCATGAGGGGTGTTCGGAACGGAAGCCCCCCCCCCCGCAAAAACAGAGGGCCAACTGTACACAAGTTTTTTGTGGGTTTTCCACATGGCCACACAGCCTGAAAAACCCACAAAAAACTATGGATGCCAGCCATGAAAGCCTACGACTTCACATTGTACACAAGTTTACTTCCTGCTGATAGGAAGAGGATCAACTCATTTCAAATGTGGTGCTGGGAAAGATTTCTTCAGATATTGTGGACTGCTAAAAACACATATAAATGGGTCCTAGCGCAAATCAAACCTGAACCATCTCTAGAAGCCAAGATAACTAAACTAAACTGAGACTGCTGTACTTTAGCCATATTACAAGAAGACATGACTCACTAGAAAAGAGAATAATAAGATAGAAGGTAATAGGGCTGATGATAATAGGTTGACTAGGAGATGTTTCATTCATAGGGTAGCCATAAGTCAAAGTTGCTTTGATGGCAGTTAAGAACAACAAACTTCTTGCTTAGTGATAATAAAAGTTTTTGATTTTTTTTTTTACAAATGGGTATTAAAACAAGTTTGTGCAAACATGATGTTTTTCAT